AAACACAGATTCAAACCTCTTCATGCCTCTCAAATCGATTTCCAGAAACACGTACGGCTGAATCACTCTGATATTAAAACTTGCTGCTGAGTCGTTCTGCAGTGTTTGAGCAGAGACGTAGGTGAGCTGGTGTGCTGAGCTGCAGCGAGTGGGGAGAGACGGGGATTTAGAGTTCCATCTATTTAGGCAGGGAGACGTTATTTAATGAAATAAAACCTTTTAAATGTATAATTTTGATTTAGTTTTTCGTTAATCAACGATCAGATCAGTAAAGAATCTTCTTCCTGTAGAAATCTCCTCCGACAGATCGCCTGGCGAGGAAACAACAACTCCAATAAGATCCTTTAAAGCTCACTAATAAAGCGGTTATCGTTGTTTTATGGGCTCTGTTTCTTGGTTGGAACCGTCTATAAATCCCTGTTGGCTGCCTGGTGAAGGATCCCGGCCAAGTCAAAGTCCTGCACGCAGCCCTCTTTTAAAATGTCATTTTTACACTTACGGTTGTGTAGAGACGGAACAAATCGTTTAAAAAGTGCTGATGCATGGAGTCAAATAACACCGAGTCATGCAAACTAGCCAACAGACATGTGAGAGGGCTGTCAAGCTTCTCATCTGACTACAAAACCTCAAACTATTGAATGCACTGGTTGTTACAGCCATTTAATATTGGACATTACAGGGACGAGATGATTTGCTGGAATTAATTTCCCAGCCTCAAAACCGTCATCTGGTGTTCTGCTCTAATGTCTGTCCACAAGCGATGACTAATGTACATCCGTCTATTTAAGGAAGAGCCGGTTAGACATTAGCTGATAGCTTTTTCTTGGCAGATGATGGATTTATGTAACGTCTCCGGGTTTGTCTTAAAAGACAGATGCTCGGAAAATAAGTTTAATGTTTGGAAAAGCCGAGCAGGAGTGGATACAGACACGGGTAGCAAATGTACAAAAAAAAAAAAAAAATGCTGCTGACAAAGAATATTTCTCTGCGAGTGATGTATGCCTCAATCCGTCTCCTCCTCTGTCCCTCTCCTCTACAGGTACCTGATGAATGTGACGTTCGAGGGGCGTAATCTGTCGTTCAGCGAGGACGGATACCAGATGCACCCCAAGCTGGTCATCATTCTGCTCAACAAAGAGAGGCAGTGGGACAGGGTGAGACGGGAGGACGGGGTCTGTGTGCTGCTATGTGTGCATCAGTAATTATTTGATGGGATAAAACGGTGATTCCTGACCTTTACATTCCCCCCAAACTTTAATTATCCTTTCATGTAAAATAAGATGTAAACTGACAGTGAGTCAGCTGCACTCTGTCCAAGTCCACGAGTGTCTCTGTGTCTCCATCATCATCTGATTTTCACTTTTTGAAGCCTCAAGCTTTGCTCTGATTAGATATTATCAACTCCAGTGAAGGTGCCTTTGAGCGGCGTCGACTTCATAGTGGAGATGTGCTAACGATGCTAGCTGTGTAAAAGTTTGGTAAACAGCGTCACACTCCTTAATTCCTCTCCTCTCAGATATCAGCCCTTCCTTCTGCCCGCTCTGCACTCAGAGCACGTCTGCTAAAAAAAACATCCAAAAATATCACATCTTCTCACCTGTTTCCATGGAAGAGCGTCGAGGTTTCCCGTTAGAGCTACAACGCGCCGCGGCGTCGCCTGTGTCGGTGTGATGCTGTTTGTGTTTCAGCGTGATTCTTGGTCTAAATGAAGCAAAGGAAGCCTCGCGGGTCGTGTTGTACGTACGGCAACAAGATTTGCTTTCCTGAACCTTCAGCGAGGAAAAATAAAACAGACATGTGTAGAGTTGTGTGTCCTGAACAGGCTTTTATTGTTTAATACTCAGTTTAAAAGGAGGCAGAGTTCGTATTTGCTAAAATTGGCATCATGTGACTTTTAGGAAACAGTGAGAGACGAGTTGTGCCACTCATGAGATTTTTATTAAGTGACCTCAGAAGGAGGCTGGAGGTGAAGCCATTGCACTTCCATCCAGAAGACAGATGCTGGACTGTTCTTTTTTCACTTTATTGTGTTTCATTTTGTGACATGAGTCCCCTTTTTAAGTCACTGTTTGGTTAAGTTTGGTAAAAGACGATCATTTACGTTAAAATGCAGCATTAAGTGCATGTTAGAGCATTCGGCTGCAGACTCGTGGTGTCTATTTTGGACATTTGTCAGCCTTTGTAGGTCTGCAGGACTACATATGTTATAACGTTCTACTGCTCCCCTTTAAAGCCCTCCATAACCTCCACATTTATCTTGGAACTTGTTATCACAGCACGAGCTGGACTCTTGAGAACACATTTGTTTAGGTTAACACACCCAAAGTCACTTAATTACCGTAATGTCTGGACTATTGAGGCACCTGAATATAAGCCGCATCCGCTAACTTTATAAAGAAAACAAGTTTTGTACATGTACTCGTCTATAAGCTGCAGGTGTCCACATTGTCAACTTTTAATTAAATACGTACCGGAAACATACAAAATGCTTTTTTCCGAACAGTGCCTGTAACACGACTGGTTAAGGAAATAAAAACTACAGCAGCCTGACACCAGGAAAAGTCATTGATTGCTATCTTCCTCCTGAAAACCTCTAAAGTCGTCTCTTCAGTACATCGTTTAAGCCGCAGCGTTCAAAGCGTGTAAAAAATAAAAGGTAGCAGCTTATAGTCCAGAGATTACGGTAATCCATTAACATCATGACACCTCTGATCGTATTCCTGATGCTTAACTATTGACTTATTTTGTTTTGGACGGTACCAATGAATAATATTAATATTTTTTACCCACTGCGCTAACAAGCCAATCTGTGGGATTGTTCAGTCAGATAATACGCCGTCATCCTGATTGGTGACATTAAATGTCATGTCGGAGTCACAATCCAAGGCTGTCGCTATGTTAAGGCTGTTTTTATGGGTTCCCTGTTGGATAGCAGATTTAGGATTGTTAAGGGTTGGATTGTAGAGTCACGACTGGACTATTGTGCACATTGAACAGCAGTGATCAGTTGCTGGTTGTTCAGGAGTCTGACGGTCTGAGGAAGGAAACTGTTTGACAGTCTCGTGGTCCTTGACCTCCTGTAGCGCCTCCCTGACGGCAGCAGTGTGAGGAGTGTGTGCTGTGGGCTCTCCTGATGACCCTGCTGGTGGAGATGTCCTGCAGGCCACTCCAGAGATGTTTTAATGACACAGCTCACATGCTACACGGTGGTGGCGCTGGTGAGCAAACCCTGGACTGCACCTCTGCAGAAGCTGGACTTCGGGAGGCGTCCCAAACTTCCTCAGCCTCCTCAGGAAGAGCAGCCGTGTGTTTATATGCAGATGTGCTTCACGTGCACTCCTTTCTTTAAGGGAAGGAAGGTTGAGAAAAACCTCGTGGCACAGATGGTAAAAGAGTTAAAAACCCTCCCAGTGTGAGCGGATCTGACGGCGGTGTGCTCGTGCAACAATATTCCTGAGTCACACTCCGGACCGACAGCCTTAAACGAACCCGGTGCACCTCACCACCTGCCAAGCCGCCGGCACGCATCTGTGTTTCCTGATGCTGCCCCTCCATTGTGTCCGTGTCCTGCAGTCTGACTCCTTTGACTCTCCCTGTTCTTTATTCTCAGTATTTCTCTCTTTCTTCTGCCTCTCTAATCTATATTCTGTCCTCTGATCAGAGAACAAGGTGAGTCACTCCCCTCCTGTCTCCCCTCTCTCCCATCCTCCCTCCCTCCCTCCCCCCTGCTCATGTTTAATTCCTGGCTTGACTTCCAGCTGAACCACTTTTCTTGGATCCTAATGAGTTCCAGCTCCTACAACCATCCCTCCACTGCACCTTTGAAGTAGTGTGAAGACTCTGTAGTGTCCAGTCCCGTTTACTCCCCTCCGGGCTGATGTTAACCCCTCCCTCCCCATCTTTCCCGCCTATTTCTTGTCTGTCCACACTCCCTCCATCTCTCTCTGTCTGTCTATGGCTTCCTCCCACTCACTCCTTTCTGTCCAGACAGAAAAAGGCTGCCCGGCGCCCTGGGGATACGCAGCCTCAGCTTGTCCACTCCGGGCTGCCTTGCCAAGTTTGTGTTCCTCGGAGTGCAATGTGTTTGAGCACATTTACATGTTTAATGAGTGTGCAAACCTGACTTTACACACTCGGCTCCCTGTCCTGCCCCGTCTCCCGTTATACCGCGTCCAATTAGCTGATGATCCATTTCCGCTCCCTGATGAAAGTGGCGCATTCAGAGGGGGTAGCGACCAAGCGTCCAGGTACACGAGTGGCATCGTGGTGACTAATTGATGACGCTTGTTCGGTGGAGAAGCGCCACGAGGGCTCGAGGGCCCTCCAGACCTACAGCTGGACTCTCCTCTGCACAAGAGCCGGCGTTTTGCATGTGGATGAGCTCCATCTCCACGCTTCTCCAACTTTAGATTCTCCCGTTTCTCATATTTCCTCGTTCTCCGTGCTCCTCCAGCCCGTCCTCTCCTCCTCTTGATCTGGATTCTGCTCCCTCTCTCCGCCTCGTCCTTCACGTTAACCTTGCTCTCATTCTCCACTCCGGGTCCCAGTCCTCCTCTCTCTCCTCCTCCTTTCCATATTCAAATCTCCTTTTGTCTTTCCTCCCCGTCGCTGCGCTTTATTTATGTTATTGTCTGTCATAAAACTCTCGGTGATTTCGTGGACAGATGGACCGATTAGAAAACAGAAAATGAGGCTGTGTTGTGTTTTAAAATTGTCAAGTTCAATCTGAATCCAGGGTATTTATTTCACTGCTACATCCGTTACTGCCGGATTCAATCACAACAGAACTCAGAGATTGCGTTTAATCAGATTTGTTTGTTTCCTGCGTGCCTCTGCAGGTGGGTAAATGGGAGAACGGCTCCCTGTCCATGAAGTACCACGTGTGGCCTCGCTATGAACTGTATGGGGGGGCGGCGACCCGGGAGGACGACCACCTGTCCATCGTGACGCTGGAGGAGGCGCCGTTCGTCATCGTGGAGGACGTGGATCCGCTCAGCGGGACCTGCATGAGGAACACCGTACCTTGCCGGAAACAGATCAAAACGCTGTGAGAGTCGGGACACGGGGCCAAACGCATGAATCGAGATTCAGAATGCCGAGTTAGCAGCACGTTCCCATTGAGGAAACTGTTTGAATTAATGTGCAACACGCTTACAGAGATTGTTACTAATTGTTTTCCTGCCCATCTGCCTCAGTAGATCACAGGTCCACCTACTGCGCAAATGACCAAAGTAGAAATGAAAGAACAACTTGGCAACTGCCTAAAGTTTAGCTTGTGAATGATGTTTGTTTCCAACGGCAGCTTTGTCTTTGTGTGTGTGTGTGAGAGCGACAGAAACACCAAGATCACGATAAACATTTCACATTTCCTTCCACGTTTCTGATGCACTTTGATTCTATGTGTGCAGCAACCAGACCAAGGAGTCGGGGATCTACATCAAGCGCTGCTGCAAAGGGTTCTGCATCGACATCCTGAAGAAGATCGCCAAGTCAGTGAAATTTACCTACGACCTTTACCTCGTCACTAACGGGAAGCACGGCAAGAAAATCAACGGGACCTGGAACGGCATGGTGGGAGAGGTGAGGGGATCCGCTCGTCTCCTCGGCTTCCTGATTTTGCGTTCCGCCGTGTCAGCGATTTGTGCGTAATGTGTTGCATGCATGTTAGCGAAGACGGAGCAGACGATACGCCGACATGGCTGTCGACTAATAGCAGGAGGTGGGAGGTTTTAAATTGCCTTGTCGTGCGTGTTTAAATTGCACAACAATCTCTTGCACCTAATTCCCACTTTGCACCACAGGTATTGACGTTGGCGGACGGTGCAGGGCGACTTATTCGGGGTCAGGTCGGGAACAAACTTTGAAATATCTGCATGAGGTCAGAACTGAAAATGCTCCAATTGGAGAACAGGCTTTGGTGCACAGAGGTGAATTTAGGGCTGTAAATAATTAAACCAGTCACGAATGGTACAGAAAATAAGCAAAAAACAAGGTATTGGTGTCGTTTATTATCGACCTCGTGGTCTTTGTTTATTCTGCAGAACCTTGCTGCACATATTAGGGCTGCAACTAACGGATATTTTCTAAATTTGGTTGGTTGTTTGGACTGTATGATGCCAGAAAATGGTGAATCAGTCAATCAGCGTTTCCTAAAATCCAAGATGCCCAACGTCTTCTTTCGTCCACATCTTGCTCATCAAAGTAGATCTAATAAATAATCAATCATTGCAGCTCCTTTAAGTTTAGTAAATGCACATCATTGCCAAAGGAGTGCCGTCCATTTAGATGAACATTTGTTGCACTCAGGCCCTTACCGAATGATTTCACAATATACTGAGTCTGTATTCTGGTTCCAGCCTTCCTTGTGCTTCCACCAGTTCTTTAGAGCAGCAACAGAGACGGTGTGGGCTACAGTAAGTACAGTAGAAAAAAAAAAAACAACTGAAAAGGCAGCCAAGAAAACTTTGAATCGCTCCAGATAAGAAAGAAAACTCAGCATTCGGAAAAAAAAAAGTCTTACAGTCTGAATAGGAACGATGGCGACGCAGATGTCACGACGGGGCGCCGCCAGACGGGGAGACGAAAGTTTCACACGAGATAATTATCTTTAAAAAGTCTTCCCACGGTTTCCTCTTGCGCCGTTTGCAAATTGCATAAACGAGTTCACGTTTTGAGTTTACATGTTTATAGACTCCGTGTGTGAGATTTGATTAAACCGGCCGAGAGTTTATCGCATCCAGTCGGCGGGAATTACTGCCGAGGTGCAGATGAAGGTGAAGAGAAGATCAAAGGGGAGACAAAGTTAGCGTCTGTGTGTTTGAGCCCGGCCAACTGTGCTATATTTAACTTACATAGGCGCTTCCTGAAGGGCGCGTTTCCTCTTTGATGTGCATTTTTTCGCTCCTTGAATTATGAGCTTTCCTTTCCGGGTCAGCCCCTCCTGCCCCCGCGGGCCTAATGCCTCAGTCGGACGGGCAGAGCGCCTCGGCCCCGGGTGCATACGCTTCAGTCAGCTGCAACAATTCACTCCGGGGGCTCTAAACACTTCCTAATCGACTTTGCTCCCAAGGTAAGGTCGTTGTCAGTTCTCATACTTCAGCCTGTAGGAGCGAGCTGCTGCACTCCTGCCGTCCGACCGGGGCTGTTTGTTAATGAAGGGAAGGGCAAACGGATCGATAGTTACCCCAAAGGTTACAGGTTGAGACGCGCTCCGTCCCAAGTTTGAATAACCTTCAGGAGTCAAGATGGCGTCCGTTATTCCCCTCCGCGGCGGAACTTTTTCTGTTCGATTTACATCAAACCGACCCGTTTAATCTCTTACATAAAGCCATTACGGTTTCCGTCTGCGTCGAGCTGTAAGTGTGGTCGCCTGTAATAAACTAAAAGCGCCGTAATGTGCCGTCTCCTCCTCACCTCCGCAGATGAACGGTGATGAGGAGGAGGGACGTCCATCCACCTCCCTCACTCACTTCTGCATGAATGACCAGAGAAACACATTCAGACAAAAGCTCTGTCTCTCACACACTTCTTCTCCATTGTTCTGCCGCATCTAACAAAACCCGACCCGTGTCCTTCTCCGGCTGGACCGCGGCCAGAGCTCCAGTATATCTCACAGTCTTAATGGACCGAGATGTGGACCGATGCCGACGCACACACACCAGGACGTGAGATCACTGAGGGCCTTTACACGATTTCGTGCAAAGACAAAAGATCAAAGACAGAGAGAAGGAAAGAAAAAAAAAAGAAAATCGATGAGCGCTGTGAGAAGGCCTAGTTTTTTTGTCCTGACTCGATTCTGGCAGCCGGTGTCAGATTTCATGGGCTGCATTGACTTGCGCTGCCCCTATTACTCCTAATCTAGAATATTAGAGGCAATACACTTGATTACATGAATTTGGCCTCGCTAGCTGGTGTCTCATAAACACACACACACACACACACACACACACACACACACACACACACACACACGCACCAGCCAAGACACATAAACACACTCGGAACGCAGATCCTCGCTCGCTCATTCTCAATAACACCCACATGGGTCACTTTCATAACACGGAGAGAACAAGTCGTAGGAGGGAGATGGAGGGAGCGAATGGAAAGAGAGGAAGTGAGTACACTGCTGGATGGACTCGTTCTCCTCCCCGGGGAGATGTTCGCACATTCACACACACACACACACACACACACACACACACACACACACTCATGCATATCTGTACTTATATGCTGACAGAATAAACAAGACTCCAAAGTTACGGATGCACACAACATGCCTCCACACAAACACTCGCAAGCAGACAAACTGCAGGTAATGTGCAAAGCAGATGTGTAATATTCCTGCTGCCTGTAAAAGGTCCACTTCACAGGTAGCGAACAAAAGGTTCGTTCACTCCTCTTTCACTCTGTCTTTCTCCCTTTATGACTCACTCCTATGAGCACACACACCAGCAGCACCACGGCGGCGGCGGCGCTTTGACTCACACAGTCACACTCGCTTTATTAACTGAGGGAGACAGTCTCGTCCCACTTTACCCCTGTGCTGTAGGGCTGTAAAATTCGGGGCTAAATATACTACCTGTGCAGAGGTACTGAGGGGAGGCAGGCAGGTAGAGGAAGGCATTGGGGCGGCTATTTCGAGCAGCCGTGACCCACTGTGGTAACCCACTTTCTCCCTCCGACTTTGCGTCCCCCGGCGAGCGTCACGAGTGTCCACTCCCAGCGCCGAGCACTGGCTCGCTTTTTCCCAACCTGTCCATCTCATCTGCTGTTATAGCAGCTCTGGTTTCTGTGGTTCCTCAGAATACCTTTCTGACACAGAGAATGTTTTAGACACAAAGATGAGAGGAGCTGTGATAAGGTTTCCTCTTTAACTGGATTGAAACTTGTGGTCGGTGGAGACGTTGGTGCTTCCACCTCTGACTGAACATTAGTGTAAATTAAACACTAATAAAACCCTCGATCAGGCTCCATGGAGTGACTGTGTTCAGTTAAACATACAGAACAAAACGAAAACAGAGATTATCAGCGCAAATAAAATGTCAAAATAAACGGTTTTATTAGGTTGAAGAAGAACAAACTGGCAGCCAATCGAGGTCGACGATGCTTTTAGACGCTTGGTGTTAAGACTTCGTCTGCACAAACGAACCAACAGTCGACAGACACAAAACTCTTTGGCTCTATAATTATTATTAAATACANTGTGTGTGTGTGTGTGTGTGTGTGTGTGTGTGTGTGTGTGGGATGACAGTGAATTCGAGTTCACCTGACATAAACATTCCTGTTCTCATGTACGCACTCTCACACACTCCCACGCACAATCACCATAATCACTGCTGCACAATGCACTGCCTGAGCTTCCTCTGTGTGTGTGTGTGTGTGTGTGTGTGTGTGTGTGTGTGTGTGAGAGAGAGAGAGAGAGAGAGAGAGAGAGAGAGAGAGAGAGAGCAGCATTGCTTCTGTCAGGTGGAATAATTTCACCTCCCTTCAACTGAACTACACACACACACACACACACACACACACACACACACACACACACACACAGGGCGATCTGACAAGCTGCTACTGATACGAACTGCTTTTTGTCACTTGTGACACCAGATACAAGCTGCATTGCTCGTTTTTTTTCCGTCCTTTGTCCCTCTGTGGAAATATCAACACATTTGCCTTGTTGCTGAGCTGCCGTTTCAATTTCAGTAAAAAAAAATTCAAGTTCTCCACTTAAGTACAACTTTGAGGTGTTTGTACTGGAGTATTTCTGCTCCCACTGCCCTACATGTCAGAGGGACATATTGTGCTTTCACATCCACTACATTAGTCTTCAGTTTCTATAAAAATGAAGATTAACGACAACACATCAAGATGAAACCAGTTGTTTCCAACCCAAAAAAGCAGAATGCAGTCAGGCTGGCTTTTCAGATGAGTTGCTAACAGCTCCACTAAATAATGATTTTTCTCTTTCCTTCAAGTCTTTATTTCAAAGAACGTTGGAACGATCTAAAATCAAAGATCAGAGAAAAAAACCTGAAAACAGATTTGTGCATCAGAACTTTGTTTTCTCGTCTTTCCTCTTCCATTAATCATCTGACGAGCCCTCAGATTTATCTGAACGCTTTGGAGGAAATATCTAACCGTGATGGTTTTGACAAATACTGCGACTTGATTTGTGATGTGAGTAAAACCTCGGTTCAGTATTTACAGTGTAATAGATTTAAAACATGTGATAGACGCAAGACGTCATCAGAGGTGTCACACGAGGAGGACGCCGTGAATTTAAAAAACCAGCAACAGTTCAAAAGCCTCAGTCAGACATGAAGCTCAACATGTTTAGTAAATGGCTCCACCTGCACCGTGCTGCTGATGCTTCACCGTTAATCATCTGATCATGTCACAGATAATCAGTCAGAAGCACCAAATCAGGCCTTTTACTGCAATATTTGCTGCTAGTATTTATNGGTGGATTTTGGGGTTCAGAGTGTTGATAAAGTCAGATGTATTTCCAATCTTTATTTACAGACGTACAGTAAATAACCAGCATTTATTAGAATTATTGTTGCAGAATCTAGAAAACCTGCTTCTGCCAGTTTCACTGTTTTGACTGAAGGACGTTTAGATCTGAAGGATTCTTTGGTTGTTCTGAGCGTCTGTCCTGCAGCGTTCCTGACCGACTCAGGTTGTTAGATGGGTCTCTATCGGGTCGCTTTAGGTTGCCGTCCATTTTTCGGCCCTCAGAAGTTAAAGCAGAAGCGATGAGAGTCGATGCATTTGCACAATGAGCCGGTACTCTGGAGTGCATGATAATATGGCTGTTTATTCTCTCTCTCTCTCTCTTTTTCGCTCCCTGCCTCTTTGCCCTCTTATATTTCCCACTCCTACTCCATTTCTCTGACGCTTCCTTCCTCTTCTCAATCTGGCACACCACATTTGCATATCTCTCTTGCCCTCTCCTCTCTCGCTTCGTTTTCCCTTTCTCTCCGCCGCCCTCGCTCTCCCTCGCTCGTCCCTCGTCTCCTCCTTGTCTTCTGCCTCCTTACAACCCCTTTCCTCCTCCCCCCCTTCCCTTCTCGTTTCCTTATCTCCGTCCGTCCATGCTCCCTCCCTCAATCCCTCGCCTCCCTTGTCTCCCTTCATCTCCCCCTCTCCTCCGTTGCCTCTCTCGCCCTCCAGAGCCCTTCAGTGCGGATGTGTGGGTGATGATGTTCGTGATGCTGTTGCTGGTGTCAGCAGTGGCTGTGTTTATATTCGAGTACTTCAGCCCTGTGGGCTACAACCGCTGTCTGGCTGACGGCAAAGGTGAGAGGCCTCAGCGCCACACACACGGAAACACACACAAGCACACACTGGCGCAGACACACCTGGTGGGGAGGCGAAGCGTTCCAGGATATAGATGTAAATAATTTCAGACACTTTCGCTCTCAGTCTTCTTGCGGCGTTACCTTCCTCCTCTTCGCTCAGAGTACAGCAGATGGGAGGCCGTGCTCAGAAGCAGCTCTACCTCTGCAACACATGCTGGAAGTGATGTTTTATGTAGGGATGGAGGGTTTTTGCAAAATAGAGAAGATGAAGTCACGAGGCGCCGAGTGAGGAAAGTCTTCAGTTTGTAGAGAAAAGAAGAAAAACTGCATTTTATAGGATTCTTTTTTTACATATGCAGACCAACACAAAGCATCATACTGAACACAAAGCAAAAGCTCATTTTCATCGTCTTTGTTGCATACTGAACATATCATGGCTCATGTGTCTCTTAAGTCCTTCTTCAGTCATTGATTAAACCCCTAAGAAGCCGTCTCTATGTCTTAGTTTCATATTTAGGGTCCGAGCACTAACAGTGACTTTTGGGTTTATTGTTATTATTCTGAATTTTTCTTATTTTTCCCCTAAAACAAACACGTTTTTGACGACCTAAACACGCCCCAAAACTCACCAACATCACCACACGCACCAAGACTGGCGAAAAAATTTGATATTTTAAGGGACTTGAGCATGTCACTGCTAAAATGGCTCCACAGTGCCACCTTGAAAATGTCAACGGAGTCCTGTTGGAAGCACGTTTGGCTTAGAGCTACGAAATGTGGTAGGAGAAGGGACGCACAAAAAAGTCGACCAGCTCCAAGCTCTAAAATGCAACACGGCTCGACTGCGCCCCCTACGATATTTCAACAGAGTCCCATCGGGGCTACGTTTGACTTAGAGCTACAAAAATTGGTACCAAGATGTAGCAGGTCGACACGCACAAAAAAGTCCATCAGAGCATTTCCGTAAACCCAACAGGAAATCCGCCATGTTGGAAAAACAGCGAGCAGTACGGGCCATTTTAAAACTCTGTCTCCTCCTAGTTGGTACGTCGTACCGACAATCGTGCGGCGAGGACCCGTCCATCGCTGCTTTAATCAGGTTTTATTGCTCTTCCTGTCTTAACCCTCCTGTTATCTTTAGGGTCAAGTTGACCCCATTCAAGGTTTAACTTAGACTGACTTTATCAACCCAAGAGGGACATTCAGGTGTTACAGCAGCACGACTGTTCAACAAAGGGGGTGAACAAGAGCAAAAAGACAACACAGGATATTAGGGTATAAAATGAAGGTAAAATAACGTCTCTAAATAAGGGATTGACATCATTTTCTCTGTTCAGTTTAATTCAAACCGAGAATTTTCTGGAGGTTTCAATTGCTGAGGTCAAACTGACGCCAAAGATAAAAGATGTGGGTCAATTTGAAGGTAATAGGAGGGTTTAAAATGTCTTTAGATGTCTCCAGAATGAGCAGATGTGTGAAGAAGCACACCAGCTCACGTATGACTAAACTACTATTTAGAAAATAAAACTCCTGAAGTCTTTGTCGCTGCAGTTTCAAGGTTTTATTTCACTCATGATGTGTCTTCTAGCATAAAATAAATACAGACGTGTTGATGAGGTAAAACGTCACCGGAGAGGCTCTGTAGGTATGACAACGTGGTCACAATCCTCCCCGGTCGCTCACTCTGACCTCTGCAGCTCCTGTTTGCACTTTTCTGAACTGAAGGACAAAAACAAAACAGTACGTGCATGCAGTCCAGGCAGCAGGTGCACGATGCGAGGTTTTAGTTTGTGATGATTTAGTGACCTCGGATCCACACTTTATGCTAATTAAGCAAACGGTTGAAATCATACTTCATCACTGTTTTGGCCCTCGTTTCTTCACAGTTAGCAAATAAAAAGCTAAACCTGGGTGTTGGTGTAACTCTAGATTCAGCAGCTTTCACTGAGCTGAGGGTTTTTGGCACCACATGGATAAGAAATGAGAATTTTAGAGTATATACATACATTTTTGCTCACTGTGGGCTCGTTTTTCACTGTAATAAAAACCTCCTGCACCTCATTAGAAACAGGATGGAAGTAGAGAAAAGACAGAAATGTATTTTGTGCTTTACAACAAATTTACATAAATGATAAGAAAGGAAAAACAAAAGCTGGATTTCTTTGTTTGTTTGACAAAAATTGGGGGGAAAAAACCTGGAACCAACATGTGCGACATGCCCTCAGATGTTCCCAGTAACAGGACTCTGGTGCTACTGTATACTGAATAACTGAATTCAGCTCAGTTCAGCCAAAAGTCCCTGAATGTGGCTGCTGCAGGTGAGTCATGGATGCACTTAGGAGAGCAGAACTTTTCTTTTTCTTTTTTTTTACAGAATCTATAATGCTTTCTTTTTGGCCGAATTTTAAATTGAGGTTATAGAAGAATAGGGTTTCTTTCTAAAGTAATTTTTTGGGCCTTTATTAGACAGGACAGTTAAAGGAGAGACGGGACAGTGGGGGGACGGGTTGCAGCAAAGGGCCACGAGCAGGAGTCCAACCCAGGAACTATAGCACATGGGTCACCAGCTCAACCAGGTGAGCTAAAGGGGCGGCCCGATAAGAGGGTTTTTGATGAAGTAGTATGATAATAATGCATAGTTTTCCGTTACTGTACGTCATGCCGACTGTCGTGCGTCTCTAAAAGTCATCATCATAATCCAGGAAACAGGCTGCAGTTTGCTGCCTCTTCAATTTTTGGAAAAGCATCTGAGCTTCAGGATGTTTCCAAGATAAAACCTGCAGACATGAGACCACCACGTCAGAGCACGACGACATTCTGGCACAGAAAATAAAATCTGGATTCAATTCAACACAAAGTTTTTCCCGCATTGTCGCAGGCATGAAAGAATAAAAGTCCACCGACGAGATCCACATTATGCAGAGAACACGGCAGCAGGTAATTTGGTCCTTCAGACAAAGTGCGCTGGATGAGCAGCACTCCAACCCGTCATTTGCTCCAAACAAGCGGGTGCAGATACAGACAACACATCAGCGTGGACTGTGTTGTACGAGTCGTGTTTTTTACCGACAGACACGCATAAACACACTGCGGTCCGCCTCCACATATAGACCAGCCGTCCTCACTGACCCAATGACTTCATTCTCCTCCTCCTCCTCCTCTTCCTCCTCCGTCGGCCTGCTCTCTCTTTTCTATCATTTACAGGTGTGTCTCGGCGCATCGCTTACCTCACACCGGACAAGTCATTTGCATTCATTACCATATTTCCCCCCCCTCCAAAAAAAAAAATCACGTGTCCGCTCTGACAGCGAGGGGCGAGTTTAGCCTCAGATCTCCTCAGCTGAAAAGATGAGAAACAGAAAAAAAGAGAAGAAGAAAATCAATGTCTCCCACAACTCTATCTCTGATGTAGCTATATATAGACAATGGTTATCTTTTTTTCATCCCTCTCATCCTTCATCATCTTCTGGAGGAGATGTACTCCTCCCTAAAGCGCTGTTCTCTGCTGTGTGCCTTCTTGTTTTATCTGCTCGTAGCGCTGTGGGAGTTTGGTATCATGAAGAGTGCAGATCGAAGTTTGGAGTCAAAGGATTTGATGCAATAACGTATCAATGGCTCGGCTGCACATTTGTAAAATCTTTGCCCGATTCATTTAACCAACTTTCTTGCAAACTTCCACAAAGGCGATATTTGGCACCGCGAAGCCGGTTTGTCCGCGAACAAAAGCGCCGGGCAACAATGCACACACCCACACACACACACACACACACACACACACACACACACAAACACAGACACACACTCTCTCTCACACACTCACACATACCCACACACACATTACCAACCAACTGCCGATCGCAGCACCACGGCTGCAGCAGTCTGTCGGCTCGCGGATGAACTGAACCGACACCGTTGCTCACGAATCGATTAAAACGAAGAAGCTGTTCGTTGCGCTCACATGTGTGATAAGTACGTATGGAGCTCATGTAAGTAAAATAAAACAACAGGATTAGGAGTCCAGAGAGTTTAATACCCCGGAACCAGGTGCTAGTTCCGGTGCTTTGTTGGTTCCAATCTAAGAACCGGTTGGTTTTCCATCGGTGAGTTAGAGCCACGTAGCCATTTGCTTTCTCATTTGTTCGCACTTCCCACCTTGTCACAGGCAAAACATATGACCAACATTTTCTAATCATAGACGCTACAATTTACGATGTTCCCTGAACGCCCCGCAGAGCGTCTGTGCTTGCAGCTGTTGGTGGCCGTGGTGCTCAGACCGGTGTGCGACCAAAGATGACTTTAACAAGACTAAACTAGCCGCTATAGCTCAACTGGTTGAGCTGGTGACTCATGTACAGGGCTGTAGTCCCCGATGCAGCGGTCATGGGTTCGAATCCCACTCATGGCCCTTTGCTGCAGGTTCTTCCCTCATTCTTCTCCTCTACTCTCCTGTCTCTCTCTCTCTTGACTGTCTGATACAATAAAGGCAAAATGGCCAAAAACAAACCAAAAAAAGGGTAAACTAGGGTGTTCTAATGCCGGATTTGTCCAAGATGAAACCGAGTGATTTTTTCTCATGTGGTCTTTTCTGGGAGGAATAAACAGCATGAAGCTCCGTTTTTCATGAAATCCTCCTCATGGCTTCAGGCTTTAGAAGACGTAGCTCATGACAGGAGATTTAAGCCAATCACATGGCTTCACCCAGATCAGGTGAGTCAGTAAAACAAAGTCCACTGCAGGTTCAGCAGTGCATTAGATGGAAGACTTCCACCTGGAATAAATGAAGGTGGACTTATAGCTGAACTGTCTTTGAAGCGGGTGAGGAGAAGAAGGGCAGGAGGAAGGCTGTGTAGTCTCTTTTCTTAATTTTGCCATCTCGAGGCTTTGCTTACTGCAGCTTTAGACGTCTAGTCGTAAACCAAAGCGTTGGACAGATTGGTGTTCCTGAAACACACAACAGAGAGGGTTGGGAGAAGTTCAGCGTGGTTCATCCAGAGGAGGAATATTAAAAGTGTTTACTAAACTTCATGCTGATTTTTCCAACTGGTGAGATGTTTCAGTTCACACCAGAGTGGTGGAGCAGCTACCCAACAGACAGAAAGACAGCTGAAGAGTTCATTTGCGAAATCAGGTAACTTCATTTTTCTAGATTTTCAAAAAACTGAAGTTGAGTGGATTTGACTTTGATTGATATCGTCTCAGGTAGACGATGAAAAAATGAGTTTTCTGAAGGTTTGTGAAGATGGAGTTCTCTGTTTTTGCAAATGAACTCCTCAGTTGTTCATTGAAAACCACGAGCTACGGCTACAGAACAATAAAATTCCACGTTTATGCTAAATCGCCAACAGACCAGGCAGCGTTTCATGAGAACATACCAGCATTCTTCCGACCTATAGCTTAACTGGTGCACGATTCAAAGAGGACGTTTGGTTTTTCATCCGCCCTTTAGCTAACCGCCCTGCAGAGGGTTGCGGGGGAGCTGGAGCCTATTCCAGCTGAGGACCAACACAAAGACAAATCCAGACAGAACACACACAGAAAGACCCCCACAGGCCAGATCTTGCTGTGAGGCAGCGACGCTAAACGCTGCACCATAATGCCGCCCACACACTGTACATAAACGATGCATGCAGCCTCTCGGTCTGAACACAAAGGAGCCGTACGCCTGCAGTGTTTCTAGCAGCCAGCAGGGGGCGTCTCGTCTGAATGTATAGACGTCTGTGAGAAAACGACCCCCCACAGTTTATGGGTTTATGGTCTCAATCGCTGGTTTCAAGACTTTATAGATACGCCACAGTGTTAGACAATAACGGCTGCTTTCTGATTGACGGGTGTGACGACCAAATTCCAACCACGAGGCTCCACAACCAACAGCTGACACCAAGGTGGCTGCATCCATCTTTTATATGCAAACAGCCAACCAATTAAAATCACTATTGGCCTCGAGACTCATCACTAAACCGCCCTGAACCGGTTTAGATCCTGATTCATCACGTGTCCTTCAACGCGTTTGTTCCAGAGCCTCACGGTCCGTCCTTCACCATCGGTAAGGCCATCTGGCTGCTCTGGGGTCTGGTCTTCAACAACTCCGTGCCGGTGCAGAACCCCAAAGGCACCACCAGTAAGATCATGGTGTCGGTGTGGGCCTTCTTCGCTGTCATCTTCTTGGCCTCCTACACTGCCAACCTGGCCGCTTTCATGATCCAGGAGGAGTACGTGGACCAGGTATCGGGTCTCTCAGACAAAAAGGTAAGTGGGGAGGTTTGATGTCGTGTCTCTTATCTGAAGCCAAAGCAGATCTGGTACATGCTCTCTGCGCTCTGTCTCCACCCAGTTCCAGAGTCCCAACGACTTTTCACCTCCGTTTCGGTTCGGCACCGTCCCCAACGGCAGCACAGAGAGGAACATTAGGAACAACTATCCGGAGATGCATTCCTACATGACCAAGTTCCATCAGAGAAACGTCAACGAAGCGCTGCAGAGTCTCAAGTCTGGGTGAGGAACAACTGTTTGTTTCTATTGAAAAGTGAACGATGGTGTCGATGTTTGAAACTTTCAAAGTCCCTAATTGATGGAAAATATTAGAATGGATGAAAATAGAGTGTATTTTGCTCCATTCAGTTAAACACCGTCTTTATTATTATACTGAAACCTGCTCAGTGTTGTCTTTTCCTAATTAGCTTTTCATTGGTTTAACCGATCGAACGCCGTGCCAGCTGTAAATATTTTCAGAGGCTTCAAAAGCAGCACAAAGGCACCAAACAGAACCCCGAAAATATGAACGTCAGATGGAACAGAATTGTCCTGTATTGTTATATTGTGTTCCAGCCTCTTGTTTACGGCCTCCTTCATGTAAACATATTGCAGCCCAGTAGCTCCAGTAAGACTTTCACTCCCCCTCTCTTCGGTCGTTTCGCCGGTGCCAGCTCCAGCCTTTGGCAAACCAAGTGGAAGTCTATTACTCTTATCAGCAGCTTAGTGCTATTTAGCAGGTTAATTGGAATGTTGGAGCTGTGATGTCTGTCTACTGAGTGCTAATTAATTGTAACCCATCTCCCTTCCCTCCGACTCTGCCTTCGTCTTTTTTTGTCCTCAGCAAACTGGACGCCTTCATCTACGACGCCGCCGTGCTGAACTACATGGCCGGCCGGGACGAGGGCTGCAAGCTGGTGACCATCGGCAGCGGCTACATCTTCGCCACCACCGGCTACGGCATCGCCATCCAGAAGGAGTCGCTGTGGAAGAGGCACGTGGACCTGGCCATCCTGCAGCTCTTCGGAGACGGTGAGGGAGCGCGAGCTGTTTTATTCATAGACGCTGCCGCACAGTTAAACGCACTCGGAGGCTCCGTCATGCTGCGCTGACGGGATGAATAATTGCTCAAAAAAATTCATCAGATAGTCGGCGAGATAAAGCCGCGTTTTAGCAGCTAATGCAAACCCATCGTAGCTTCTCTCCGACCTTGAGGCGAGCATTAAAGGATAAGTCGGGCTTGTTTGAGCTGTGGGCTTGTTTTAATGACTCGGTGGTTGTTTTAGCTTTGTGCTCACCAAGTTAACTGAGAGCCAGATGAACAAAATCCAAATTCGAGTCCTTTCTTCTCGGTTGAATTGCTCCTGAAGTATTTATTGCAGTGAGAGGTAGCACACACACACTTTCCAACGATTCCAGCTCTTTGTCTGAGTCGTTGAGAAGAAGTAATGTTGAGTTTACATCAAACTGAATCATAGTTACGGCTCTGCATCCATTACTCTGGTCTGAGTTACTCACTGAATACATGTTAAAGTCTAGAGATTATTATATCAGTTTCATGTTTCCTCACATCAAAGTTACACCAATTTGAGAACAGATCAAATGTCTATCTTCACTAATTTCTTCCCTCGTTGCTTGTCAGTTATAGAAGTCATCCACCGCGGATCAAAACAAACAGCAGAGCTCATCCTCTCTGTCCGTCCGATCTTGAAATTACAGCAGTTTGCCTTTATTGTCTTCAACATCCAGTGGAGCTGACATCACATCCCACCATGTCTGAAAAATAAACACAAAATAATGGATTTGTTGGTTCTAAAGTTGTGGTTTAAAAGATGAGCCTTCATATAAAGGCTAATGTAAAAGATCTGGTAAAACAAAAGCAAGGTGCAGCGTGGACGGCTCGCTCCTATAATGACCAGGATAAGAGCTTAAAAGTAAAGGTAATGAAGTTACCCTGAGAACAGCCTCGGGGCTCACGGCGATAAATCAGAGAACGCTGCTGAAAACAAAGTCTGACGCGGAGACGGATGCGGGTTGCTCGGATAATAGGACACGTTGTAAACAAGCTAACGGATGATGTTCATGTGAACTCTAGTGCACCTGAACTGCTGCTAATGTAGATCATGTAAACGTTTGCTGTAGCTGAGTCAGCAAGTCACTCTGTACACTGACAGCAAGTTTGAAACCTTATGGATGGTCTGACTGAGTCGTGTTTTGCCCTTTTTGACTTATTTTAGCATCGTTGCAGCGTTTCCTAGTCGCAGCGATTAAAGCTGCAGTCAGCAGACACTTGAAAAGGCAAAAAATTAAAGCTGCAAGCAGCGACGGATGTACGATTGTTGGCCTTCGTTGTGTGTACGACGTTCCGACTAGGACGAGATAGATTTTGAAAATGGCCAAAAGTGAGCGAAAATGGCCCATAATGCTCGCTGTTTTTCCAACATGGCGAATTTTCTGTTGGGTTTACGGAAGCGCGCTGATGGACTTTTTTGTTTGTCCTGACCTTCTCCATCTGCCTACCAAATTTCGTAGCTCTAAGACAAACGTGCTTCCGACAGGACAGGAAATTTTCAAGGAGGCGCTGTGGAGCCATTTTAGCAGTGACATGTCCAAGTCTCTAGTCCCTATTTTCACCAGTCTTGGTGTGTGTGTGGCGATTTTGGTGAATTTTGAGGCATGTTTAGGCCCTGACAAATGCGTTCTTTTTGGGGAAAAATAAGAAAAATTCTGAATAATAACAATAATAAACCCAAGGGTTACAATAGGGTCCTTGCACTGTTAGTGTTTGGACCCTAATAAACACCAGAATTAAAAATGTGAAGTCCTCTCCCCTCTCAAACGTGCAAAAATGGCTTCAAATCTTGCCTCAGTGTGGATTTTGTTGCTCTGTTTACTGCCTCATCTGATCTGTGAACAGACCTGTGATTGGCTTAAAGCGCCCATCAAACCGAGGCAGGAGGAGGTGCAGGTTTCTCCTCAGATGTCTTAAACTTTAATATGCTGAATTTTTAACCAATGATTCCTAAAAGCAGTGCTGCCTACTCCGGCTTTAACTCGGCGAGCACAGTGATATAATTGCTGGTGGAAAAACAAAAACCAAACCTCCGACAATGAGTTGTAATGAACCCGAATCCTGCCCGAAGAGCTATTTCAAGGCTCTTCATTGACTCATGAATATTCCATGAAGCGCCCCGGGCGGTGCAGCAGGGACATGTATCAGGGTTCTTATGTATACGGTCCAGACTCTGAGCTTCAGCTCATTCAATCTGAAATCAAAAGGACTGCGTGGGCGGTAACGCACAGCGCCTGAAGTCGAACGCTTCAGTTAAACCAACATCGTTGTGTTTAGGGTGTTTGGAAAGTCCTTCGCAGTCAATCTGGGACCCGCAGACACTCTGCCGTTCGCCTGGAGGAGAATATTCCACCTTTTTCACCCTGAAAAGCTCCCTGGATGATAAAATGTGGTCCGATGGGTTTGGCCGGGCCGAATCTGAGCCTCCTAAATACCTCCGCATTCCCCCTGTTGCCTCCATCAGCTGTGAAATCAACAAATGTCAGCGTGTCAGTTCCGGTGGCAGCCATGCACGACCAAACCGCAGCAGAAGCACCGCCGTGTTTGACAGATTTAATTTTAATGGACGTCGGTTTCATCCGTCTGTAGAACTTTGTTCCAGAAGTCTGCTGGGGTTTCTGGCTTTCTGTGTCTGAGGCTGACCAGGAGTCTACGAATCCTCTGATCGTCTCTTGATCCTGGAGAGTGTTCTCGACTTCCTGCGCTGTCGTATTAGGGCTTCCCTTCACCTCGCGCTCCTGAATCTACGAGGCTGTTCGCCATTTTCGGATTTTTTAGTTGAACCCAACCTCTGAAACCAAATACGTTTGATATTTTTCACTTATAATAGAATAGAATTAGAATTAGAATAAAACTTTATTGATCCCTTCGGTACAAGAATTCAGGGAAATTGCTAATAATTACTTATAAGGCAACCTGGTTATCCTTCGTATTGCCAGGTAACTCCACTTCATGGGTAAATTCTTAATTAGCTCTGAGCTTTGTATGAGCTGTTTTCTTCCAAAAAAAATGAGTTCAGTTACTTTGAAAACCCCTCAAAAAATATCCTGTAGTTCTTCTGTGTTGATGTAAACTTGTCCCAGTTGATCGTTTAATTCAAGGACGTAATCCTCAGAGACTGATCAGGTTGTGTTGGGTGTTCAGAAGGAGACGTTATTTAGTTGGATCTCGAATAGTCCGGTGTTGACATCGCTCTTAATTCAAAGGAAAGATTTCATACGAGTCCAGCCACTGATGTTTCTGCAGAACACCAGAAAGACGTTCAGACGTTGAACTGACCTTTGGGAACCAGTCAGAATTCATTAACGGCTGTATTTTTGACGGACATCTCGGCGTGTTGTGTAACAGACGCCCGCGGACGGTGCGGCGCTACCTGGACGCCGGCTCGGCCTTGATCTGAGCGCACCGACACGACGTACTGTATGTTCAAAGACGTGTAGCCGGACTGTACAGCAAGCGGAAAACATGAAAGCTGTGTGTGTGTGTGTGTGTGTGTGTGTGTGTGTGTGTGTGTGTGTGTGTGTGTGCNGACAGAGTCTTGTGCATTTACACACAGAAAAACAGAAGCAACGTTGATAATTAGGCTGCTTAATTATTATGAATTAACACTTGGAGACGGATTGATGACAACAAGTGGAGACGTTATTGTGTGTTTGGTGACTTCTGCCAGATTAGCAGCAGGTTATGAGGCGGCTGTAGTCGGATAAATAATCATTACACAAGAACGTTTCCTAAATACTAAATAAACTGTCTGAATATTGTGATTATTTATCTGAGGAGTTATTGTGTTATCGGACTTTACATCTTTGTCTTCTGTTGGTTTATTTTAAGGGTCGTCTGCCCCGAATTACTCTTAAATTAATTTTCTATTAGAACAAACGGTTTCAATAAAAATACAACCTCGATGCGCCACATCTCTAATTTATTAATTTAATCAAGTGAACAGGAACAACAACAGAAGACGACTGACCGCTGTGACGACGTCCACCTTCGTCCTCGTAGAGTTTTCTAACAGATGAAACCTCAGAAGCTATTTTTACGCTGTTTTGTGACTATTCTTAACCGCGTCTATTGAAATTGTTTTCCAAATGTTTTCTACACGTTCCCTCCTCGGGGAGAAGTTTTGGGACGGATTCTTCTTTTCTTTCCGTTCGTTAACTCGCTAACGGAGGCTCTCTGTCTTTCCCCTCAGGTGGTGCTAAAGAACGCCCACATGGCCGTCGGCTCGCTGACCATCAACGAGGAGCGCTCGGAGGTCATCGACTTCTCCGTGCCGTTCATCGAGACGGGCATCAGCGTCATGGTGTCGCGCAGCAACGGCACGGTGTCGCCCTCGGCCTTCTTAGGTGAGGAGCCAGCTGCCAACATCTGGTGCTGCTCATTGGATTATACAGTTTACAGATCAGCATCAGATGTAACTCCAGCTCTTTAAGGTTCATTCATTCATGGCTTCGTCCTCCTGGTTGCTCAGAGATGGAGGTTTTAGTTCCAGCTTGGTTTTTGGATCTTGTTCTACCGACTTAGTCAGTCTAGTTATCAGTTTTGCCAGATTTTGCAGAACAGTGACGCTCCAGCCAGAACCAGTAAAGGTGTGAAATGTGCAGGTAGCACAGGTGGAGAGTGAGTCAAGAACGATCCGACAGTTTGCCTTTTTGTCCCTCTGGACCCCAAAACGCTTTCTGTTTACTCGCTGTGGGCTCAGAGAAGTCCTGCACCTCTATGGAGACAGCAGGACTGTGGGTAGAAATCTGAAAAGGCTTTTTTTTAATTTATTTTTTTTTACAAAATTTGAAACAACCTGAAATCAACATTTGTCCAAATGCCCACTGATGTTTATGATAAAGAACTCCAAATACTACAGATATTTTATTTACTACTTACATTTTCAAATAGTCGACTTCAAAAAGTTCCTGAAATTTTTATCATGAGACCGTTCATTGCAGCTCAGAATGTTTTTGTA